CACGTACCGTGGTCCGCATCGGTGTGGGTGCGGATTGCCGGGCTTTGTGCGTGCCACCTGCAGTGATTGGCGGGTAGTCAGAGGGCTGCAACGGCGCATAAGCCCTCCCCTTGAGTTCGCCCATCATACCCCGCCCTGGAGGCACCCCACCAAACCCCTCCGCCCCACCCCGCGCCACCCCAAACCCCCCTCTCGGCGACCCTGCCTCCCCTGTGTGCTCTCCCAACCCCCGCCAGGAAACAACAACAAGATCAACTGGGCGCTGAGCGACAAGCAGGAGTTCATCGATATTGTGGAGACGGTGTACCGCGGGGCCCGCAAGGGGCGCGGTCTGGTGGTGTCGCCAAAGGATTACTCGACCAAGTACCGCTACTGAGCGCAAGGGGGCCGCAGGAGCGTGCGCGGGGGACACAGGGCTGGCGCCGCACGCTGCGTGCGCGCGCGGCGTTGCGCGGGCGAGCTGCGGCGCGAGACTGTGCGTGCAGCACGAAAAACGCGCGCTGAGGCAGCCGGTCGCGCCTGGTCGCACGCGCGGCAGGTTAAAATCAAATTGTTTTGCGCTGATCGCCGCCAAAGCGGCGCGGGCCAACAGCGTGGGTATGCGCGCATGGGGGCCGGCGAGCGCCATCAGCGCAGCGGCCTGCCCTCTGCAACAGGGTACTGCCGCAGAGTGGCGGTACAATATCTGCCTGTAATCAAGTTGCCCATGTGCGAATGCGTTCAATGTTACACCTCTCTCACGGACACTGACACACGTCATCGTGCTGCCCGCACGCTCAGCGCATTTGCGCTGCTGTATACAGCCCACCTCGGCATTTGCGACTGGCCAGTCATGCAGCAGGCGATGACTTTGCCAGCCTGATGTGACTGCAAGTAATCAATGCAATTGATCGGGCCAATCGGGCTCCAAATTGACATGGGACACGATTGATATTGGGCAGTCCTTGGCGGTTAAGGACACGCGAGTTTCCACGGCGCTGCTCCATGATGTGGCGGCGGAGCGGCGTCAACAATTCTGATTAATCTTGGCGTAACGAGGGGCGCTGCGCTCTGCTCACGAGTCCCCCTGTGGCGCCCCAGCCAGCAGGTAGTCCCTCAGCTTGTCCAGGGCGCGGTACCTGGCCGCATGGGAAGGGGGGGCGGGCGCCGATGATGCAGATGATGACAGTAGATTGTGTGCAGACACAGGCTGCGTCAGCAGGTCGCGCCGTGCGTCAAAATTGGCGAAGGGTGCAGGCTGAGAGCAGGATGAAGCGCCCTATGCATGAAGGGCGCCCGCTTGAGACAACATCGGAAGGGCTGCGATCTTCAACACCCTGCTGCTCCATGCCCAGCTGAGCTCATTCCCCTGGGACAACACTGGGATTACTGCGCTGCCGCAGCCCCCCCTCGTGCCCCCATCCTGAGTCCACGCTCCAGTCGCCCCTGCAGCTCGCACCCGCAGCCCCCGGCCCCGGCCGCGGCCTCGGCCCCGCCCCCGGCCCCGGCCCCGGCGCCGCCCCCGCTCCTGCCCACCGATGGCTGATGGTATTCTTGATGTCCTTGTCCAGCTCAGCGTACGTCTCATCAAATCCCTCAGGTTCAAAGATGGGGTCCCAGCCGAACTGGTTGTCCCCACGGGCAGGCACAATGCGGCCATGGGTGCGGCCGACGAACACGACTGGCTCCACGCCGGGGCCTGCCGCGGGGTCGAGGGGTGCGAGAGGAGAGGGTTGGTGGGACCCTGCCAGGTGCCCAGGGAGGGCAGGGCTCTGCGTGGGTTGGGGTGCACACGGCTGCACATGCCCTTGGTGTCCATCGGAGCAGCACACGGGCGATGCCGCAGCCTGTGCTTGATCTTATCAGAGTAGCAAGCCTGAGCGCATGCAATCAGACAACTTTCCAGAGTTCATCTTTGACGACATGCAGCCCCAACAGGCTCCGATGCCGCCCTCACCAGGCGCGTATGCAAAGATGCACTGGGCGTAGGCAGTCTTGTCGTCAAAGCCGGCTGCAAACGTTGGCGCATGTGCGACGTCATGTTGCGGCAAGGGTAGGGAGCATCACTCTTTGAAACCCTGGCAGCACACTGCCTGACGTGACAGCCGCAAGCGAACGGTGCATGACGGCAACAGCTGGACGCATGCACAGTGGGGCAGAGGCTCGCTGTGCTGCCACGGCAGCGTTTCAACTGCTGGGCTGGGGTGCTGGCCCCCACCGAGCATGCGGTTGAGGCCATCGTGGCCCAGCTTTTCCAGGAACCACTTGATGTAGGGCCCTGGCAGTCCCTAAGGGTGGGTATCATGTGTGAGAGTGAGAAGGGATGCGTGAGCATGGGTGGAGCTATGCAGGGTGGAGCCAAGTGGGGCCAGGGGAGGGATGGTGACGAGCCCTGGTCAGCGTGTGGCCGGGGCAAATCGAGAACAAAGCTGCAAACCTGCAGACAGCTGTGCTCCTCAGGCACGCCCCTCGGCCCAAGAAGGCCGCACACAACAACAAGCAGTACACGCGTCCATATTCAGCAGCGCTGCATCACCCTTGGCTGCCCGAATCTGGCCCTTGCTGCCCGGATCCGTCCCTCGCCTGCAGTGCGTTGAAGCACAGTGACGTGTCCTCCACCATCACCGCCGACCCCACCGCCTTGGCTGCCAGGCGGCACTTTTCCCGGCTGATCTCCTCGGGCTCCCCCTGCAGCGCATGCAAGGGGAGGGCGGCGAGCGGCGGCACGGAAGGAGAGGGCGGGGAGTGGCGGGAGGCGGGGGCGAGGGCGGGCAGCGGAGGTGGGTTTGCGGGCCACGCAGTTTGGTGGCTTCATCTTGCCAACCTGCCAGCGTTCGGCGCGCAGCTATGTCCACGAGCGCCGCCCTGACCAGCAACCCCGGCGTGCGCAGCGCACTGGTTCTTGCAAGCTGCTGGTTTATGAAGGCTGCTGAGCAGATGGGAAACCTTCGGAATGGAACGGCCCTGGTTGCCAGTCTTGATGCACAAAATCATTTTCATGTCTACGAGGCAGCTGTCCGACCTGCAGCTCTGGAAGGTCGATCTTGACTGAGTCAACGGTGAACGGCAGCTTCTGCCCAGCTCCCAGGATTGCGACGACCTGTCATTGAGGGATGGCGGCCGCCGCTGACGATAATGCATCTTAAAAGCTATGCCTAAAATGGGTACTGCAGGCGCCGCCTGCCCCCTGCGACCCAACCCCGCGCAGCTGCAGATTCATGGCCAGTACCTTCCTCCCTGCGCCCATGCGCCAAGCTGCACCCATGCCCCACGGTATCCGCCTGGGCCACGGACATTGCCTTCGCACCTCCTCCAGCTTTTTCTTGTTGCCAGTTGCAAAATGGACCACTGCTGGTGTTGGGTGCTGCTGCTGTAGCGGCTGCGGGTCCTCGTGCTGCACCATGCCGCCGCTGCAGGTGTCGCTGCTGCTGCCTCGCCTCAGGGGCAGCCAAGATGAGAGTCGGGCGCGAGGAACGTGTCTTGAGACTAAACTGCTCGTTTGAATGCGCACTTCGGAGGCGATCCCCGAGCCGAGCATACGGTAGATCTGCCGATCTATCGTGTGCGAGGGGAAGGGCTGGAGTTTTTGAGGGTAATGTAGTCGTGGCTGCTAACACAACAAGTCCGAAGTGCTTCCCATAATCGCAGTCAAGACATCCCCCCTTCAGCCACATCGCACTTGAAGGATTGAAGTTGGCTTGTGACGCAATGCGGGCCCGCTTGCAATGCGGACGCGGAGTGCAGTAGCACAAGCCTGTGTGAATAGCAAAATGCCTTGTACCGCTACCCAATTCGTGATGCAACGAGTGCCTTGCCATGGCAGTGCCTCGCGAACCACGGTCAACAACCGCCAGTACCGTAGTCACCTGCAGCCGTAATCGCCACCCACGCCTGCAGGAGAGTGGGGGGTTGCCTGTTGGCATGCGCAGGGCGATGCAGCTGCGGACGCCATTCACGCTCGATCCCGGGCCCCTGGCCGGGCGGGGCAATCACCTTGATGCGGGGGGAACTGGAAGGGGGGCAAGGTGAGGTAATTCTCGCGTGCAACTCCAATCATCATGTTGGGATAACAGATACTGATGTCAGCCGGATTGGTTGGAGAGCTGCTCATGTCAGCCCTTTCGGGAGCGGATCTGCTACTGTCAGCCCGCTTTCGGTGAGAGCTGCTAACCTCAGCCCGCCCCGCCCCTCCCTTGCCTCCCTCCCTCTTGCGTTGCACAAGGGACCTCCGCCTGCACGCAGCTCTCCGGCCCCGCGCACACCCCACTGCCGCATGGTAGGCTTTTTCAATTCCAGCTCTGGAAGGCCACCCAACCCAAACTCCCTGCGACTGGCGGCCACCAAGAAAAAGTCCCTTCGTTTGCATGTTTCGCGTGCCTATGCACCCCCATCCCACCAAGGATGCGCAGGGCGCCCTTGTCGCGGTGTGCTGAACCCCCGTTACTCCATCTGTTTTTAACGGTGTGCTGCTGCTAACTCACCGGTTTCGTGTACCGCGGCTCAAGCTACAACGCTGCCGTGGACAAGATTGCCACCCATTCAGGTGATTCAGTGCATCAACGGGATTCCAAAGGAGCGGTCGGGGGCAGGGATACCCCTCTCGCTTTGCATCCACTGCTCCCTGCACCCGCTGTGTTTGGTTTCCAGGGTGGGGGCTGGCCCCTCGAAGCTTCACGCGGTACCGACCGAGTTCGTACCTTTGCCTGCGTCACATCAGAGCTAGTTCATTTGATGGGTGGCAAGTGTTGGGGAGAAACAAGTGGTCATGGTCTTTCGGCAGCGTACCGTTACTCTCCAATGGCTTGTCGTCAAACCAAAGACGAAGTGCGTCTAGTGACGCACGTGCTGACGCTGCGTACTTTTCTCGGCTGGGAGCGAACCCGACGAGGTCCTTGCATACGCTAACGTCGCAAACCCCTTCAGATTCATCTTCGCGCCCTCTTTCAAGTCGAGGCAATTCACTTGATCAGGCTGACCTGATCTGAGGTGCTCCGTCATACCCGCCTGACATGCTGGCGGCTGCGTATCAATTATTTCCATTGCTTTCACGCGGCGTTTTGTCCGCGCAGTCCGCCTACAGCGGCAGCAGGCTCACAAGCCAACTCGCAGCATCCACTTCGCAACAGCAACAGCAAAGAGGCCTACCCGTTTTGATTCCAGAGCACGAGATAGAGGATGGTGCGTCTGGCCGCTGATTGGCCCATGCTGCTGATTGGCCCATGCTGCTGTGCCTGCATCTGCTGCTGCTGCTGCTGCTGCTCCTGCTGCTGCTGCTGCTGCTGCTGTGTGCGTATGCGTGCATGCACGCGCGCGTGTGTGTAAAGTGTGTGTGCACGCGCACCCTGCTCGCCTGCTGCCATGTTGCCGAGGTGATCAGCAACCAGGCACAGCACAAAGGGGGTTCCTGAACCCTGGCCCCCGCCATGCAGGGCTGCCAGTCTTGAACGCGCGCGTTTGCAGAGGCAGCGGCCTCTCGCTCGCTCTGCCTGGCGGCGGGACGCCGGCGTTGCTGTACAGCCTGCCCGATGACAAAATGCTGAACCTGGACGTCGATTACATTGAGGCAGAGGAACACGTGAGCGCGCAATCTGATTAATAAATCCCTCATATTCCTGGAGCGCATTGCCTGGAGATCCCAGGGACGCGCTGCCTGCGCTCTGGACATCTGATTGGCGGCCGGGGCGGCCGCACCACCGCCGTCCCGGGTGAGCAGTGTTGAGACCGTCGCAGAGGAAGCCACGCCACCGTCCCCCGCCCAAGCGCGACGCGGCACGCCTCACTGGTCCGGCACTCCCGCTCAGTTGCGCACCTTTGGGCGCAACGGGCTGATGGCGCAAGTGATGCGGCTGGAGCTGGTCGGGAAGGCGGGGCAGCAGCTGGGGGCAGTGCGCGTGCTGGTGAGCCGCGTGGCTGCAGGGAGTGTCATGCAAGGCGGAGCCACTGTACAGCAATGGAATGTTGCATTTGAAAAGCCAGCTGTAGGGCCGGGGCGACCTGCTCAAGTTGGACAGGCAGGAACTCGCGATCCGCGCGCTTCGCCCGGCGGAGGGCCGCCCTCCTTTCGTGCCTGCCGTCAACCCCCACCTCGTCCAAGGACGACCAAGCGGGCCTGGGGCTGTTCGACCCCTTCTGCGTCGCTCTGTCATCCTGGGTCAAGTCACTCACTGTACCACACAGCAACGGACCTGACCCCCACCCCGCTCATGCACACCCCTCCCCCTGCCCCCGCAGCCGGATGAGGTCAGGGTGGACCGCTGGGGGCAGGAGGTCAGGCACCTGCGCCTGAAGTACCTGCCGCGCGATGGCAGTGCGCTGGTGAACGTGCCGGTGGCGCTGGTGGGCGAGGAGTCGGCGCCGGGCGTCAAGGGCGGATCCAGGCTGCACGTCCTCAATGACACGGTGCCGCTCGTGTGCCAGGGGTGGGCGGTGCCGCCCAGGTTTGAGCTGGACGTGGGGAAAATGAGGGTGAGCTGGGGGCAGGATGGGTCTTGCGGGTTGGGTACGCTTGGATCGGCCGCTGCTCGCAGGAGCACGGCACGCGACGGAAAGGGCAGTAATTGTGAAGCACTAGGTAGCAAGCTCATGCCCTGTTGCGTCCCGCTCATTCTCGACGACTCGGCCCTGCCATTCGTAATCCTCATCGATCGCCACGTGCAACCAAACGTCCGCGCCTACAGACGGGTGACTACCTGAGATTCAGGGACTTGACACCGCCTGCCGGCTGCGAGCTGCGCGCCGAGAACCCGCGGCTGCCGGTGGTGCGATGCGCACCCAAGGGCGTGTACGAGTGACGTGTGGTTGGCTGGCACATACGTTTGATTGGATGCTGCATGTTTATATCCACAAGGCCTGGGTCTGTTTCAAGTACGTGTGTGTGCATTGTGAAGGCGTTTGTATGTGTGTGTTTGTGTGTGTGCAGGGGTGCGTGTATGTGTGTGTGTGTGTGAGAGAGAGAGAGAGAGAGAGAGCGTGTGTGGGTAGGCGTGTGTGTTGTGCAAGCACGCAAATGCGTGGGACTCTGATGTAAATTCTGTCAGGTTTGGCAGGCATTCTGATATCTTCAAATACACAGATGCTTGCACAGAGCTTGCTCATATCTTCTGCTTGCAACCACAAACGACTGTAAATAGTGAGCACCGTTGCCAAGGACCACTAATGCCCGCGCAGCATCAGACAAGGGTCCGAACGCCTGAGCACCCCATGCAAGACACACTTTTGTCGAGGGCCCCTCCCTGATTGGATTGTGACGCTCTCCATGATGTAAGGTGCTAAGCCGCTGTGCCCTGCGCCCCGTGGCCCTGCACGCCTCCCCCCCCCCCCGAGCCTCTGGCCTGCAAGGCCACATTCAGCCATGGTACGCCCTTTAGATTTAAACCAGCAGGAGCCCCAGCATCCAGGCAGCAAGCCCCCCTTGGCTGTACTGCCCGCGCGGCCGCACACACTGGCAGGTCTCAGCGCCTTGCACATGTCACTACCAAATGCACGCCGTAGGGCGCGCTGCTGAGCACGAGCTGTACCACCACCTGCCACGTTTCACCGACAATGGATGCCAGCATCAGTCATTATCAGTCATCCAACAGCAACCCCATATCTGGCAGCGCCGCCACGCCCCTCAGATCATCCGCGCTCGGCCGCACCCTCGGCCGCGGCCGCGGCCCCGCGCCCATCCGCGCCCGCGCCGCCTCGGCCGCCGCCGCGCGCTCCATCGCGGCCGCGCCCTCCGGCCCAAAAGAGCGCGCCCACGTCCGCCGCTCCTCAACCCGCGCCTGCCTGGCGCCCCTCAACGCGTCCGAAAACTCCTGCTGCCGTGCGACCAGCGTCTTATAATCCCGCGGCACCGACTTGGCCCGCCGCTCGCGGCTTCCCGACACCTTCCCGTCCAGCACCGCCAGCCAGCGCCGCTGCTCGGGCGGGCCCGTGGACGTCGCGTGCTCCCACCCCGTCGTCGCGTCGCCGCGCGTGAAGGCGTGGTCCCGGTGGTGCAGGGCGTCGAACGCGCCGGCGCCCGCGGCGCGCGTCACCGTCGCGCCGCGCGCGTCGCGGCTGCAGAGGCTGGAGACCGGCAGGATGTTGGCCAATGACTCAGCGGCCGCCGCGGGCGTGTGCTTGGAGCGGACGACCTCGACACTCGAGTTCCACTGTGGTTTTGTTGTTGTTTGAGTGCGCCGCTTGGAAAAAGGTGTTTCAGGTGCAGGGGGTGCCAAAGTTGCATCTCCTTTGCAAGGCGTGCCGCCCGATGCTGCTGTTCCCCTGCTGCGCTCTGGCAAGTGTTCTAGCGAGTGCGAAGGCTTGCCTCTGTGCCCCGCCGCAGGCCCAGGGTGTCGCGATGGTACTTTCGGATGACCTCTTCTCGCGCTGACTTGACCTGCACAGCGGCAACATGTGCAGTCCATGTGTGCGTTGCCTGTGCTGCACCTGCAGCGACCGCATGATGCGGTTGCTGTCTGCAGGCTGCTTTGCGCCGATGCCTCGCCGCCACGCACCTTTTCGAGGATTTCTATATGTCCCTGAACTACTACGTCTGTCAGGGGGTAGTTTAGCTGGCATCCTGCCCGTCCCGGGGACCGAGCCAACCCCACGGCCATGCTAGCTGCGAAATCAGCAACGTCGTCACGATAATATGTTCAATTGAGATATTGGAAAGTTCAAACATTACGTGGTCTCTGCAGCGGCATTGTGAGCGCAAAATGTGAGAGCGGTTTTGCTGCATGCAGCAGACGCGCCGCGCCAGCAAGCTCTAGCTGCAGAGCTGGCATGCTGCTGGCAAACACACCACCAGCGCCTGCTGAGCCTGTGTGCCGATATAAATTACTGCAGTCAACGCAGCATTGGCCAACTGCCTGCCTGTGAATACGCAGTGCTTCATGCCCGGCCTGAAGCAGCCAGAGCTGCCAGGGGCGACACGAAAGCACGATCCGAACGCCAGACAATGCCACTCTAACACAGCTCTTTTACCGCAACCGCATAGCACTGAGGGTCCCACACGGCCTTGCGCTTGTCAATTGTCGAGTCAGGGCCCCGAACAACGGCCGCACCCGCGCTGCCGGGGCCAACCTCTGCTCCGGCCGGCCCCAAACTGCATCGTCCCCACCGCAGTGGCCGACCGCAGCAGCGCCGCCCGAAAGTTGCAGGCAAGCCACTGCCTTTGCCTTCCCCCGCTTACCCCGCCGCTTGGCGCCGCCGCCGCCTCCTCCAGCCCCGAACCCGCCGGGCTTCTGCGTCGTGCCGCGGCCGCCATTGCTGCTGCTGCTGCTGCCCGTGCCCTCTATCGGCCGCGTCGCGTCCTCCCGCCTCAGCATCAGCACGAAATCGCCGGCCGGGCTGGAGGTCTCGTGGCGCGTCTCTTGAAACCCCCGGCCCAACCAGAACGCGAGCGCGGAGGGATTGTGCCGCGCGGCCCACAGCCAAACCACGCCGGCCCTGCGGGAGCCGAGGCAACGGCAAAAGAGCCTATCAGCAGACGCAGCCATCTCTGCTTTGCATCAGGCAACGGCAGCAGCGGCAGACCAGCTTCGCTCCGTCCCAGCGAAGGGCTCTGCAGAGCAGCAGCTGTGGTCAACTATGTCCCCGCATGCTGACGGGCGCCGAGAACGTCCGTTCAAAACGGAACCGCCAAATCACCGGCAATCCCACCCATGTGCTTCCCAGCCCTCGCTCCCCGCACCCCGCCTCCGCCGCCACGTTGCCCAGGAGGTCCATGAGAGACCCCGCAATGCCCTGCCGCCGGAACTCTGCGGAGCGGCATGAGGGCACGGCGGCACAAGGCATCAAGCCCTGCAGCTGCTTATGCACCTGCTCAAATTCTGGCCCACTTTGACCCCAAGTCGCGATGATACCGAGCTCTGGGTCACACAACCTGGTCGCCCCTTGTGCCTCCCAACTGAACCTCCCCAACCCCTGACGCCCCTGCGCCAGTCCCAGTCGGTGCCCACCGTAATCGACACCCAGCAGCTGCAGCGCGATGCCGAGTTTCGGCAGCCGCACGGCCGCTCCTGCTGACGTGTCGCGCCCCTCCGAGGGACCGGGCGCCGGCGCCGCCCCGTCCACAGGACCCGCCGCGCCGTCGCCGGGGGCTGCGAAAACGACTGCGTCGGGCGCGCCTGCCGCCGCCGCATCCGCGCCGGCGCCTGACAGCGCCTGGACGACCGCCGCCACGTCCTCGTCAGCATACGAACCAGCTGCCAAATGCGCCCCGGCGCAGCCAGCAGGGTCGCGCCCGCGCGCCCAGGGATCCGACTCGCCATCTCTCCCGCTGCCGCCGACCTACGGCACGCCAGCGAGTGTGGCGTGAGCATCACAAGCTGCCAGCTCGCGCTGTCGATTCTCACCACAAATTGTGCGAGTGGAATCCCTGCCAGACATGCGTGCTAGCGCCCACCTGCCGCCGCCGCGAGCTCTGCAGCGGCTCCAGCGTTGCAACCAAGAATGCGCACAGCTGCTGCCCGCCGCTGAGGCCGCCCGCGCCGCCGCTGCGCGCCGCCAGCGCGATGCATTGGCCGACGTCCAGCCCATCAGGCAGGTCTGAGGGCTTGAAGCCGAAACGCTCGGGATCGCGCTTCACGGCGGCCCAGTCCTTCGGCGTCAGCTGGCCATACTCAACGTCGACTGCCTGGAGGGGCGTATGCAGTGTGCGTGGCAGTGCGCACAGTGAACGCCCCGTTCTTCTATCACATGCATCTGGGAGGCGCCATGCCAAAGCGCACGCGTGCAACACGCCTGGCTTGGGCGCCCGCGGATCCATAGTGGCAACGAGCCTCGCACGCACGCACCTGCACCAGTGCACGCAGAAGCACCAGCCGCTCTTGCGGCGGCTTGGCCTTCACTAATTCCAGCACGTCCGCAGGTAGCACGCGTGAGGCCTCTTCTAATAGCCGCAGCTCCTCTTCAGCATTGACGTTGGCTGCCATACTGTACAGCACTGCTGGAGAGGGTCCGCCAGGTGGTGAGGCTATTGCAAATCCACGCTTTACGCTTTGAGCCACGGCATTTCATACAAAGCTAATCCTTGAGATCAGCAATACGTTTTGCGTATGATCTGACGAAACACACCGAGACCAGCGATCAAACACGACGTACCCACAAGCCCATAGCGTGGTGACATGTGAGTACGGTATACCCGTAGCATGTGAGTGTTACAGCAGAAAAGTAGTCCAATGGAGCATGTGGGAGGGCAAAGCAAGCTCGGCTGGGTCATCGCACGCTGGTGCGTCTGCAGTACATTTCACGTCCTGCATCCAACCTGCCCCGCTGCTGCGGACGGCCACAGGCGTACTGGCGATAGACATGATTGGCAAGGGCGCCGCTGCCGTTACCAGCTTGTCATGCGGGCAAGCATACATCACCATACCCTGGCAAGGGCAGGCGAGGGGAAACGCACCCACTAGCGGCCCGAACCGTCCCAATTCGTCACTGCCTCTCCCCCTCGTCCTCCCCCTCCCCCTCCCCTTCGTCCGCC